GGGGGGGGGGGTGAGGAGCACAGAGGACAGGGCGGGAAGACGCCCTGTGACCTCAGATGCAGCACCCTATCGATTCTCATTAGCAGTACCCAGTATGACCGCAGGGGCAAATGAGGGCAAGCCCTGGTTTCTCAAGCTTTCTGAGGGACACACCTCACAGCCTCAGCTCAGCCTCTGATACCTTCCCACGGGCCCCGAGAAACGCAAGTGCCGGGACCCGGGTGCCAGACACACCTGGAGCTTTTTGATGGCGGTTCCACTCACTACCTCCGATTCTGGTAGATCGGGTAACTGTTCTGTGCCTCAGTTTCCCCCACAGTGTGTTAGGTCACTCATGTTACTTCTCCCTCGGGACCCTCCCGTGGCCCCCATCTCTCTTGGGAGTCAAAGTCAAAGTTATCACGATGGCCCACAAACCACTGCATGATGTGGCCCCAGCACACGCCTCTGACTTCAGCTTCTGCTTGGCTCCCCTTCCCTGGTGCTGCTCCAGCCACACTCTCCTCCTTGCTGTTCCTCAACAAACCACGCCCACTCCTCCCCAGGGCCTTTGCACTGCCTGTACTCCTGGCCTGGCTTCCTCTACCCCTAGATGGCCACAAGGCTTGCTTCCTCACCTTCGGGGCTCTTTTCAAATCTCATGTTCTCACTCCATTTAGAATTCCCAGCCCTGGATACACACACACACACACACACACACACACACACACACACTCTCTCTCTCTCTCTCTCTCTCTCTCTCCATTTCCCTTTCCTGCCTCATGTTTCTTCATGGTACTTTCCACTACATGTAATTGTTATGACATCTATTGCACATATAGGTTCAGTGTCTGCCTCCCCATTGGAGCACGAGCTCCACGACAGCAGACATCCTGTCTTGCCCTCTGCCTGCGTGCCAGTGCCCAGGGCCTGGCACACAGCAGGTGCTCATGTATTCCTGCCGAACTACCGTTGGAACTCTCGCTGTGACTCAGGCCGACGTGCAGAGAAGCCCCAGGCTTCTCTGGAGCCCCCCAGCAGCTCCTGGGGCCCGTGTAGCCAGGGGCTCTGGCACCCCGGAGGGAAGCAAGGAGTGGGACAGGAGGGGGAAGGTGGCACTTGAAGAGATCCCCTGAGAGGGGCAGCCACCGTGGCCGTTGGGCTGGGAGGGTCCTCAGAGCCACCCAGGCTCCTTGCGGTGTAGCTGAGTCCCAGAAAGTCCCAAGTAGGACCCTGGCCTTTCACCGACACGACCCTGAGACCCTCCCAAGCCACCCTTGCCAATCCTGCCCTTCAACACGGGCCTCTTACATAGCCTTCCCGCCACACACACACCTGGGAAGGGCCTAGAATGCTTCTCTGCTGGCCTCTGCTCATCCTCTTCACAGCAACTGGAGGTTCTTTCCACCGGTGACTGTGACCACGTCACCACCCAGATGAAAACCTTCCATGGCCCCTTACTATCCCTGAACAGGGTCCAGGCCCACCTGCGTGGCACCTGAGGCCCGTCTGCCATCACTGCCCGCCCCCATCTGGCAGCTCAGCCACGCGGAGTTTCTTTCACTTCCTCCCTCCCACACCGTATGGCCCCTGGGCAACCCCACGCCCCGTGACACGTCTCCCCCTGACTTTATCTGGCAGACTCCTGCTCATCCTTCTGCCCTGGGCCCAGACAACTCCTCCTCCAGGAAGCCCTCCCTGATCCGTAGAACGTCATGGGTGCCGCCCACCCTCGCACATCTCCCCCCCCCCCCCAATCTTGTGATCGTCTATTTCCTCGTTGTCTCCCCACCTGACAGGGAGCTCTGCGGCAGAAACGGGGCCGGAGCAGTTCTGGGTGCCGAGGCCACCAGCCCCGGGCCCGGCAGGGAGCAGGCGCTGGTGAGACGTGGGTGGGTGGTCTGACACCACGACCCGGCTTGTCAGTGTCCAAAGCGAATGCCAAGCCCGAGCCTAGCTGAACACTGTCCAGGAGAAAACCTCCCTGTGCCCGTCTCCAACTCTTCCTCCGTTCTACCCGCCGCCTTCTTCTGCCTGGCAAGAACAGAACACAGAGGCTAGGGAGACGGGAAGGGAGCAGGAGGGATTCTGCCCTCACGATGCTGGGCCCCCAGGTGGGCTATGGGAAGGAAGGAGCACTGGATGGAGTCGAGCCTGGGTTTGAGTCCCATCTCTGGGTTGTGTGGCCTCGGGCAAGGCACTGCACCTCTCTGGGCCCCCACTTTTCCTACTGTGGGATCAGAACGATACCCGCCGAGCAGGGTTTTGGAGGAACCAAGTGGTATAGAACGCAGAGGTCAGTGAGCACCTGGGGGTCATTAGAATCGCTGAGTCCGTCCAGGAGGGGTCAGGCTGGTAGCCCGCACTGGGACCTTGCTTTGACTCAGGGTCCCCAGGCCGGCTGGGGTCACACGGGAAAGGCCCTGGGAGAGCATCCAGCCCTGCATCCTCACTTCACCCACAAGGAGGTGGAGACCCACGGAGGGGCATCTCTTGCCTGAAGTCACACGGCAGGTGAGTGGCTGCCTCCCCCCCAAGTTGGCGGGGGTTGGGGGGGGGTGGATTCTGAACACGTGTAAAGGACCCAGAGCTGGATCCGGACCCCTTTCATACCAGCATCAGCCTGGTCCTCCTGACGGCTCTGTGAGGTAATGCCCAGAGAGGTCAATAGGGTAGTCCAGGGTCACCCACAGAGAGACCTGATAGGAGAGGTGAAGCAGGTTAACTGAGAGCCCGTTGGGTGCTAGGTGCTGAGACCTGGGTGCTGTGGCTGATGTAGAACCTCGGAAGCACGGCCTGACCCACAGACAAGAGGGGAATCTCTGGGCCTTGGTTTCTTCACTTGTAGAGTGGGGACAATCATAACAGTCTAAGCAGGTAAGATACAAGAGACTTAGACAAGGTCAGGAGCTGCAAATGGCTGGCTTACCTCCCCATCACCCCCACCCCCTCCACTCTCTCTGCAGGCATCACTAATCAATCACAGCACTGTTCCCCCACTGAGCTTTGGGGGGGGGG